TTTTTTTTTTTTTAAAAACAAACCAAACACACTCAGGAATGAATGAAAACCAAATTTAATGAGCTCATTTTATTATTGAGGTAATAGTGCAGCAGATAGTTTAAACTCTCTTAAACAATTCAAAAGTAGACACGAGTTTGAAAATGCCCATTCGTTGCATGAACCTTTGGTCATCATCTCAATCTTAGGAAAAAACTTACTGGACAAATTTCATAACTTTTATTTTTTAGCTATATGCTTTTGACGTAAAGTAAGCCAAACGCATAATCTAACGACTTCTTCAGATTGTGCTTCAAGAAACACAAAATAATTGCAATGAAATGTTACATGCTGCTCCAATCACAATATTACTACATCCCCTTAGCTAATTATGGAAAAAAAATCTTATGAGTAATTTCAGGTTTTTAAAGTCCACGTATGCATGAACCTATGATTTGACATCGTATTGAAAAAGGCAAGTCCAGTTTACTTAATCTGGAAAAATATATTTTATCTATATCTATTTTTCTTCCCTTTTTTGACAGTCACCACAGAAAGGCCATCACTTGAAAGGCCTTATGGCCTTTACCAAAGAAGTAACCATAAAAGAGGTTACACACTTGTATCCCACTGTGAACAATTTCCCCTGTGATGTTAAATTACCTGCAGCACTACAATACACTCACACGTGGGAGCTACAAAGCTGAACTGCACTTGGCTAACACGCTTGCTAACATAACCAGTGTTTAATTAAACTGAAAGCAGGCAAAGCGAAGTCAAACTTACATTTATGTGGCCTGAAAAGTAGACGGCGACACCTGTTGCCCTTTAACACCCATGTAGCTAAACAGTGGTCGAGCAAACCGCCAACAACTACCACTGAGCCATGTGGAAAAACAACCTCATACTCGTTAGCAGTGTTCACGGAGCGGTTGTTTTCTCCTTTATCCTTCTCCCACAAATCAGTAGGGTACCCGGTGCTAAAGCTAACTGGTGCTTTGGAAAATAAAGGTATGTGAGGCGATTACTAGACGTCATTAGCGATAAATTAAACATTGAGCTGAAAAAAATCATCAGTGTTTCCTGCTACCGGACAGAAACTTTTCAAAGCATCGTTTTGGAGCAAACTTTTGAAATGTTGATTTTATGTCTCGATGACCTACAATTATAATTAAAGTTAATCTTATTATAATAACCAAATATCAGTTTGTCCGTGAACTCCTCTTACGCGCCTACGGTCATGTTGCCAAGCAACCACTTACTAGCAGGACCTAAAACAGGACATCGGCTGATTTTAAGACAGTCATACTCATTTATATCTTCTACTTATTTGTATAAACGAGAGCTACCAGCCTTTTTTGATTTGGCTTTGATTTGATGTTTCTTCACGGTGGGAAATATTGAAGAAAATTAGCTCCCAACTACGCTATGGGATGTTTAGCAAGATGAAAACGCGGGTATTAATATGTAATCAACAGAAAGCGTATTAAAGCGCAGAATAACAACTGTTACCGTCGTGTAAATGGAAGTTTTTGTTTCTGTTGGTAAAATGAACGATCTTACACGAAAGACCGTGAAGGCAGCAGAGTGGGAGGGAGCCTGACCAACAATTTTAAACGAGCGATCCAAAGAGCTCCGCTGGAGACGCCTTGAAACACGGGACATACCACCGGCAAGCTGCTGCCATGTTTCTGCAAAAAATTCTGCTTTATTTGTCGACAGCATGCATGTTTTGCTACATGTTGGGACTGTTTCTCATGCTGGCGATATTGCAGTTTTTCTCACCAAGCCTTGCGAAGAAGTTCATACTTCGCATGGGTGAAAAGATCACCATGACCCAGAATCCCAGGTTTAACTATGAGGATTGGGGTCTGACATTTATGTCCTTGGCATTTATTAAAACCGCTTCTTTTCACATGTGGCTGTCTCTCGGAGAAGAGGCGTTTGTGGGAGGAGAAGCTCCAGACTCACCTGTGGTCACTATGGACCGCGAGAAAACCAGCATCTCCAAGTATTTCAAAGGTGCGTTAAAGAAACCCAGGCTCATCTGCTGTTATGCAATGCTTCTTTGCGCCAACATTGCCGTTTCTCTGCAGGCAACAGAGCGCTTGTGCTGAGTTTTGGAAGTTGCACCTGACCCCCGTTTATGTACAAACTTGATGAGTTCAAGCAACTCGTCAAGGACTTCAGCGATGTAGCCGACTTTCTTGTGATCTACATCGCAGAGGCTCATTCAACAGGCGAGTACAAGTTGTTTGCAGAACCTGAAATTTGTGGGTGGAGACATGTGGCCAAAATATCACCAAGCAAGAAAGTGAAGGTTTTTTGTTTCTTTAAGATCTGAATAATGCTGATGAATGTTTAGCTTGAAACTAAACCCAGGAGATGCAGATCTGTGATTGGCTATTGGACGTTTGTAATCCAGTTATAGCATTCATTATCTCTATGAACACACAAACTACTTATATGCTTTCTGTTTATATTGTTCTGGTGCAATCATGTGAAAACGCACTTTCGGTTTCACTTGCAGATGGTTGGGCCTTTAAGAACAACTATGACATCAACCAGCACCAGAGCCTGGAGGACAGGCTGTCTGCGGCACAGGTCCTGGTTCAGAGTGAACCCCTGTGTCCTGTGGTTGTGGATGAAATGACTGATGTCACCACCATACAATACGGAGCTCTGCCTGAGAGGCTTTACATTCTGCAGGCTGGGAACGTACTCTACAAGGTAAGACAGGTGCAAAAACTGGCAATTTCTTGAATAGTTTCTTTCCGAGCTGCTAATTGATGAGTTGTTTTTAGAGAGCAACAAGGCCAAATTCTTTCACTTTCCACTCACTGCTTCTCTCACGCAATTTGAAGTCATACCAGCATTATGGGCGTGAGTGCAATCTGCACTATCTCAACACACGCTATCGCGTGTGGTGCAGGAGTTGAAGAAGCATAACAAGGGCACATTTTTGGCACTGGACCAGGCTCATGGCAGCTGGACCAGATATGTAGTTTAGATGACAAAAACCTGTTTCTGGTCCTCTCGTTTGAATTAAATTAGTATCTTTATAATAAAGTGTAATTAATTATGCTTTTACCATTTGTTACTATGTTCCTCAGGGAGGGAAAGGGCCTTGGGGCTACAACCCAGCGGAGGTGCGATCCTTCTTGGAGAAGATAAAATAAGAAACTCTGCGCTTATATGAATAAAGGTTTCTTCTTATTAAGGGGTGGGTTTTATCTACATTCTAACCAGTATACATTACTTATATAGGTGGGGGGTTTTACAATCAGGCTCTCATGTTGTCTTAAAAAAGATATCAGCCTCTGAGCTTGAACTCTCCTCTCAGTGTTAATTAATGACGGCTGCAGATTAAACTTTGGACTCTGGAGCCAGATGCATTCAAACACAGGGAGACAGTCCACTCAGCGGTTGTGATAAAACGGCACATACAGGAGATGTAATTTGTGTGAGCATGCATGTGTTTTTTGTCCATATTCTCTTTTTGGTTGCGTGGTGGGTTTATTGTGGCGCAGGTTTGTCTGCATCGTAACTGTAATTCCACTACATCAGCATGTAGTCCTACTGTCAGTCGTTCACATTAATCACAAAAGGTGTAGAAATGGTGTGTAACCTTTCTGTAGTCTTAAACGAGATGTCAGCCTCTGAGCTTGCAACCCCCCCTCTGTGTTTCTTAGTGACGGCTACAGATTAAACCTCTGGTCTCTGGAGCCAGATGCATTGAAACGCAGGGAGACGGCCAACCTCAGTCATGTCATGTTCGTTGTATCACAGACTAGACAGCAGATGTAGTTTGCTTCCATATGTGTTTTGCTTATGTTGCCTGGCTTCTTCAGTTAAACTCCCTGAAGATTTAAGGCACTGAAAGTTTTCCCATTTTCAGTGTCAGTTATCAAGTGCACACTTATGAATTCTCCACAGTTTCAACAGCTGGCTACTATTTACATGACAATGCCAGTCAAAACCTCTTCTAGCTGGAAGTCTTTGAACTACGTAGGTTAATTTATTATTGGACACTTATTGATTTGAATATTCTTGGATGTGAAGTCATCCGGTAGCACCTCAACATAAGAGTACTCACTTTGTCAAAGTCATAAAAACAGACATGCAGCAGCACCGTATGCTAACCACTTTGTGTTTGTCACTGTGACTCACGCTTGACCCATTAAAAGAGAATATGATTGTTGCAAAGCTCGAGTTCTCCATTATTACAAAAATGCTTTCAGAGTTTTAATACCAACAAAGAGCAGATTTCTCCCACATGAGAATCTGCCTGTTGTTTGCTGTCTTGTCTGGAAATGATAAACCTTCTGCACTGTGTGTGGATTGTAAAGTTCAGATTCCTTAATATCTAACTGTGTTATCTGCACATCAGATGATTTTGGCACCCAGTGTCCATGTTACATAATTTAATCTAATGAGGTTCTTATCTTGGTGTAGTTGGTGAAAGGGCACAAGATAGCTTTCAAGTATTTTGATAAAATTTTGTATTGGAGAAAAGAATCGGATTTTAATTTCGATCCAAGCATTAATAATTTGTAGTTTGACTTCTTTTAGTTGCCAGGATACTTTGTGTTGTCTCATAAACACTAGTGCTAATGTGAGACTTGTGGCAATAATAAAAGCAAAACTGAAATGAAATAAGGTTTTAGTTATTCATTTTTTTTAAATCCTGTTTTTACAAGTATATGACACAGATATGTTTTGAACAAAGGCTGCAGCTTTCATAACATTTCTTGTGTGACTGAAGTTGGAGGGTAGGTTTGGCTGCTGCCCAGTCAGGCCACATCCTGTGGAGGCTAGCCAGCAGCAGCTTAGCCTCATTTCCCATTGTTAGACAGGAACCACAACACTGTGGGATCCTCCCAACGATGAACTTTTGTCAGGATTCAGGTCTGAATCATAAAGTTGAACCAAACTATGGATGTGCAGTATGTGTGTCAAAGCCATGGGCATTTGCAAAGCATTGTGTGTATTGAAGCCCACTAGAGGGCAACATAAAGACATGGAGGGGGGAAAACCGATCATGTTCAAGTGAGTCTTATATTAAGATAACAGATGCATCATTCAAGGAAAGTGAAGGACATTTAATAGAATAAAAACGTTTCATCAAGCGTTTGTAGATTCCAAGTGCTGCTCTTCTGGCCTTTACTTGTCTTAAAATTCTTAAGCTGCAAGTAAAAACATTTACAAGATGGAAGTGCAACAAAAATGAGTCACCATGTGATTGTAACAGCAGTTTGATGTCAAAAGCAAAGTGTGCTTGTCCTCCGAGTTTAGGGGAAAGCTGTGCTTGGCAACTCCCGGAGCTTTCAGTGGCTCCGACTGCCTCCTCCAGCAGGTGGCAATAAATAGATCCCGGCTAAAATAAACACAGACGTCTAAAACGAAACTATAAAGACCCTTTGGAGCCACTCACCATTACGCCGTGAAACGAAGCTTGACGATCTCCCAGCAAAGGGTAAGTTGTGGGTTGAAAACTGTTGAAGGTAAATTGTTATATGGTGGTAAATGGCGTGAAGGTGGCTGTTTGCAGCTTAAATTTACTCTTACTGTACTGACAGTCACGAATGAATCCAAAGGATAAACATTCATGATGCGACGTAAAGCTACTGACATAACTTTAGAAATCACCCTATAATCTTTAAGGTTACATCGTCCAAATAACTCAGTGCATCTTTGAGGCCTCCACAATCTCAGCTGCTCTTCAAGTGTTTCTTTGGCTGTGATTGTTTTCTGCAGAGTAAAGATTTGTTGTCATACAGTGTAGACTGACAGCAATCCCCACTGTGAACCACAGTTACACAGTTCAAAGAAAATGTAAAATATTTCCTACATGCACCTTTTAAACTGTTATTTCTGCTACATGGAACAAACTGTAACAGAACTGAGCCGGTGACTGTCCCAAACCCACTGATGTCAACAGCTGAAACGATTTGTCCCTCATCTTTCATGCACAGCCGTTGAGCCAGAGCTGCAGTTTCCTTTGAGTCAAAGGCTCCCTCTGGACTTCCTCTTGTTGTTCTGGTACCTGTTGACTACAGCACCCTCTAGCTTTAGTGAAAGCACCGATTAGCGAAGCCACCACTGGTCTGTGCACTGACTGCAAGCAAGATGTGATGACAACTCCATTTTAAAGACACAGGACGTTAATCTGTGCTAGTAATCTTGGCATTTTTGATAAATAGAAGGTACACAAGTGGTAACACAGCACTTACAGTTCAACACTTTTTGTGGATAACTCATTTTCTAATGTAAGCGTTTATTTGTCCACAGCTTCAGCAGTATCTTCAAACCTGAGTTACTCTAATATTAATGCACGGTGAAAACAAAAACAGCCCACACGGTGAGATAAGTTATTGTAAAATTATATTAACAAGCAATCTTTCCTCAATTTGAAATAAAAAAATATCAGCAAATAAAGGCAACATAGGACAGATGTGTATAATGCATAATGTTCACAGGGGAAAAAATGAAACAAAAATTCTCATCACATTTACAAGACTGCGGCTAAGTTTATAATGATGCCTACTAGAATCAGTTTAGAAAGCTTTGACTAACTGAATAACTGGGGCAATATATGTAGTCAAAGTTTGTATCAAAATATAAAAAAATATGCGGATGGGCAAGAGACGGGCAGGACCAAAGGGACGACCAGTGATACAGGAAGGAAGTGTTAACCAGTATGTGTGAGAGATTAAAATGGGCAACTCATCCATATATCCATCAACCAAATTGGAAGTAACACAGAAGGCTATGACGATGAAGCGCACAGAGTGTTAAGCACAGGCAGGTAAAGAGATATACACCACATCTTAAAGCAGGTGTCCACATAGAGAAGAGCAGCACTAGGTAGTATGTTGTACACAGATTCTCAGCACTCATGCACTCACTTTTTGTGCCAAAGTCTGGCTTCCCTTGACAGCACGCGGCAGCAGTCCAGCTGTTTAAACAGCCAAGAGTGGCAGAGTAGCAAACTGTCAACAACAAAGCCCCTTTCAGACATGCAGTCCTTTTCCATTAATCTGACAGCACCCGCGAACGCGTCGGCTTCGCACCCGAACGGGCGCCCCGGTCACTTTTCTGCAAAGATTGCGACGGAAATCTCGAACTAGGTCCGACCTAGCACTTTCAACTTGGCACATGTCTGAATGCATTAACCGATGCACAGGATTATGACTGCCCATATCTCTCGTCCATCTTTGATGTAGAGATTGCCCCAAACAGCAATAAAATATGACGTGAGGTTTTATCTCATCGGAAGCTATTTTTCATTTTCAGTAAGGTGAAAAGGCCGCTCTCTAATGCAGTGCATATTCCCCATGCAGAAGAGAGAGTCTGTGTTCAAAGGGCAGGGGCAGCTGTGGCAGAACGCACACACTCGCGCACATGCACACACACACACACACACACACACAGACCCTGATCTTGGTAAAAATGTCACATCGAGTTAAACGTTCAACAGTGTGGCTACACTTCACTAGATGCCTAATGCTCACTGCCACGAATGCGACAATTCTTTTGCACATATGGTGAATATCTCACATACCGTGGCTCTCTTTGCAACTGTCATGGTTACGTCTGAATAAAGCTGCGAGGAACACTGATGTAAAAGTGACCAAAGCCTAACAGAATGCCATCGCTTTGAGGGACTGATGAAGGCGGCAATGTTAAAAATCCCATGTCTGAAAAGGGCTTGAGAGACTGATCAATCTGGATCAATGTGACACTGTAACAACACCGCTGCAAAAGGCTGTCACAATAAAAGCCATATTCTTTCACATCGTTTCCATTTTTAAGTCTCTTTAAATAGAAAGGTGGGCATTGGGCAGAGTAATACATTATTCAGAAAGGTGGCCACAGAGTAAAAGACAAATCCTCAGTCCTGTGTCAACCCATTTCTGTGACACTGTATGCATGGCGATAAGTAAAATGACAAGACAGAGACTTTCCAAGCTCACAATGCGTATGCAAACTCTCCAGTGTTTTAAGTGACAAAAGCAGATATTTCCTGCACATCTTGCACCACAAAGCAATCATTAAAAAGTACAAGAGGTAAACTTCCAACCTTTTTCTCTTCGCACTAGGATTAAAGAGGCTGAGAGGACTGAGCGGGGTCAGGAGGTTCTGCAAAGAACATAAAACGTGTCATTTATGCATTTCAGTAGCTGGTTTCTCACACAGGGGTTGTGATAAATGGTGTAATTGTCCTTCATTTTGAGCAAGGAGCAGTAGTTAGCCAGCCATTTAGATTTTTTTGTTTTGTTTTTGTCCCCCAATCAGCATTCTGGCGTTAGTGTGGAACCAAAATGGCGCCTGTCCCTGATTTGGTGCTGATGTGTTTGGCCATGTCCTACAGTGACTTCAGATCCTCGGAATGATGGCAAATCGGGTCGGGTGAAGAGGGGGAGGGGGTCACACACTCATCGTCATGGTTGGAGAGTACTATGGAAACACACACGCAAGAAAACACATCCATGTGTTACTATAGTTTACAGCTTGCTTTATGTCCTAGCTTGTGTCTCCGGCTTCATCACGGTGGAGCTACAGCTACAAACACTCTGACGACTTACGTTCTCGCTCTGAAAGGAGTGGAGGAAGTTTCCACTCAGCTCCCCGTCATCCCTCGGGGTCCCGGGAGGATTGCTAATGCCACTTAAATTGTTTGGGGAATTCTAGTAACGAAGAGGACGAAGTTACCAGTTTAGTTTATCTGGGTTGAAAAGATAAGCAACATGGCTGCATTGGGGTTGTTTTTTTTACCTTGTTCATTCCATCCATATCACCAGAACCTGAAAATTAAACCATGTGTGAAATAATTAAAACAATGTTCATGAGCCCATTTTATACAGTGAGTGCAGATAAATACATGTGCTGTCTTTAACAGGTGGGGATGCAATCCAAACACTTCACTGCTGTGCTGGTTTAATGCACTGTGGTGAGTAGTGTTACCTAGTGATCCATTCATGTGGTGTGGTTCCATCCCAGCCATGGCTCCCAGGGGTCCATCAGAGCCTGGGCCCATAGGGAACTAGGGGAAGGAGGGGGGGTAGTGGCATGAACACTTATCACAGCTCCGTAGCGGAGTTGCCGTACGATTAGTTAACTACCAAAATTGAAACTACCAAACTTAAAGTAAAGTGAATAAAAGTGCAAACTGCCTGAAACCCAATTACTAAAGATTATAACAGTGCATTTATTTATTTATGCCATTATAAGATCAGCCTCACGTTCTGCTTGAAGTCTTTGTCTGATTCTTTCATTACCACGAGTGTAGGTGAAACAGTAGCCTCCAATATCACATATCACAGTATAACAAGTGCTTTGCGTCTCTGCTGTGTATTCTTTGGTAAACAGTGACAGCGTGCTCTAGAAAGACCAGAATTACTAGTGTTTTACGTTAAGCGTGATGTCATGCAATAGGAAGTGGCATTTCCCACACAAACCCACACATTCAATGAGTCAATCTGAGGCTGTAAAAAGATACTTCTGGTGTCTTCTGTGGTAGTTTTACTCCCTTCATCAGCAGCATGAAGCAAAGTCATTATAGTTAACTTTAACTAAATTAATGAAACATTGTAGCTTTCTTTGTAACTAATTGGGAAAATGTATTAACACACAACCTTCCTAATGACTCTTTGGAGGGTGTTTATTGAGAGTTCTGGTGGTTTCTACATGGCTATGATTTAAGTGCCTTCATATAGTGTTGCATATTTGTCGTTGTGCTGTCTTATCCTTAATTTCTCTTTAAAATTTCCCATGGAAAACACCCACCTTATCTGACTATAATACACAAACCTCTGGCTGTGTGTGCGCTTGTTTCTTTGTCCTCAAACTCCTCTCAGACCACCAGGGGTTGAGCAATCCAACATCTTAGGCCCCTTGAAGGGTCTCATCTATATCAGATATCGTGACGTCTTTGTGTTTCCTGGCAACTACCTAGTAACGTGCTAAAAAGCGCCCATTTTAGCATTTATGCATCTATAATGCCTTGTAAAAACATCATATCAGTTTGTATTTAACAATAACATCTAATCCCCCCCCCAAAAAAAAAGCATGGATAAAAAAAAAAAAAAAAACTATACATGTTTAGCAATCGCCTAGCAACAGAACTACATCTACCACCACATTTTCTACTTTTCCCAATGAGATTAAGTATATCAGTTTACCAGCACCACACACAGGACAACATTACTGTAGCAAAACTAGTAAAAACTTTGTTGTAACTTTGCTGTAAAAACTTACAAAATTAAAAACTAACCAGAAAATAAATGATTATAATAACAAAGCTCAGGTTTATGTGTCTACAGGTCTTTCCACCTGCACTCACACAGCCACAAAGGCAGTTTGATGGTGTACAGTTACAACAGGTTCGTACCTTTATCACACGGTTGACACGAGAATAATGTAAAGAATTTATTTGTGTAATGAAAAGAGATAAATTTTGAGTACAGCGGTCCCCTCGTTTATCGCGGCAGTCAAAGGCACCCACGGTTGCCTTTGACAGGGCAAAACGTTTCCTCATCATTGTTGTGTTTGTTGGGGAGAAAACGCACAAACATACAGCGCAGCACTTCACAGTCGCACTGCTAGCAATCGAAGATTTATGTGAAGTCGACAAGCGAACGCATTCTGTACTGTACAGGAGACGCGGCACGAGATTGATTGACAATGGTCAAAAAAAAAAAAGAAAGAAAGAAAGAAAGAAAGAAAGAAAAAAAACCCGCAAAATTGCACAAAAAAATAAATATAAAATCAGCGAAACAGCGAGGGACCACTGTTATGTGTTTTGTCTGTAACATTATGCTAAATATATTATTACTTCTGATGAAATCAGCAGTTCGGTCAAAGAAATAAAACAGAACTCACATTATTCCGGTTGCCAGGTCCAGTGTTGATCATGGTGTATAAATTGTCACCAGAGTTGTTTGAGTCTGACGGGGAAAAAGTGTAAACGTACAGTCGTGGATAGCACAAGAAAAGGCTCAAGTTTAGCAGCTTAAGTCAAAGAAGCACTAACCTGCGGGGCTGGGCATGATGGGAGTGCCAGGAGGCCCTCCACCTCCAGATGCCCCCTTTGGAGAATGAAACAAAATAAAAAATGCATTAAATGTTATCCTTCTATGCTGTAATATCTGTAGTGTGTGAGGGTTAAGACATCAGGATGTGTTCTCACCCCGTATGCACCAGGAGAGGGTGATGAGTAAGGCATCTGAAACCAAAGACATAAACATTACAGACCAGAAATGGGAGCACAAACCCTTTCCGTACCCCAAACTGTCATCATTCATCATTTGATCGTCCTAATACCATTATGGCTGTCTGTCCAACTGTCTGTGGAAACCATGATACATAATACTACAATTACATCCCACCCCACAGTAGAACCTTGCAGACCTCTGCAGCTCAGAGAGGAGATCTGGTTGCAAAGAATGAGCATTTCTCTGGGTTTATGTGTGAATTTGTGTGCCTGCATTTCTACTCACAGAGTTGGCATTGTTGGGATTGGGCCATGGCCGACCCGTTCCTGGGCCCCTACATAAGAACGCAAATGGAAATCTTGGTAAAATGTTGCACTTGATTTAAAATACATTTCAGACAATACTTAGAAATAAACAGGAGGCTCACATGTTCACTCCTGGCATGCCAGGACCCATGGTGTTGTGTGGAGGCCTCATCCCACCACCAAAGTTCTGTGAAAACAAACAAAAATCAGCTTCAAATCTGAAACCACAGGGTAAAAATAAAAACTCTTGCAAACCTACTACGGACACATCTGTTAACACTGTCAAAATGCTTTTGGTTTGGATTTGGTTGGCAAAACGAATACCTTCCTATCACAAGAACTAATAGGGTAAAAACCACTGATTCATCAAGGCAGTGATGATTGATTCTGTATAAGTAAGCAGCCTACCTGAGGGCCAGGCCCCATAGGCCCCATTCCTCGAGGGCCACTCATTCTCTGCATTGGCCCCAAGTTAGGATGACCTGAAGAGTAAGGGCATTCAAGATATAAAATAATAATAATTATAAATGAAAATAATTCCACACTAATGCATGATGTGCAGATGCATGTCATTAAAGTGAAATGACACACACCTTGTGGCCGTGTGGGGTCCATGTTGGGCAGCATGGGATGAGGACCTGGTCCTCCGCCGGGTGGCTAGTAGAAAAAAAACTTGAATATGAAAATTGCAGTTTGAAATTCACACGATTCTGTGGTGGGTGGGTGTGCAGGATCCCTACCTGGCTGGCCATCCGGATGGGTGGACCTCTTGGGCCTCCAGCAAAGCGAGGCGACATGAAAGACTACAACACAAACATACATTTAAATAAAGATTTGACAAATGTCTCTTAAAATGTACACGCGTTTCTAGGTTTCATGTTGTGTGAATACTGAAAGCAGCATAAAGCTTTAAGCTGAAACAAATGCCAAAGCATGAAGCATCAGCACTGAGAACCAGCCTTGCCACATGACTGCACATAGCAAAACCGGTGAAAAAGAAAGAGAGAATGAGAGAGAAAGGCAGCGTTACCTGACTGTGAGGTCCCATCATACTGTTAGGGGGAGGAGGCTGAGGGTGAGGAGAGCCCTGGGGACCAGGAGGACCCTGTGGCATCACATAAAACGAAGAGGCAAAGAGGACGATACAGGAGGGACAGTGGGGAGGATGAGACGAGAGAGAAAGAGGGAGCGAGAAACCAAAGTGACAAAAGAGGGACAGACAGAGAAGCAGGGTTACTGCAGGGCAGAGGACAGTCGGAGTGCAAGAACCAAAGTGTGGCGCAAAAAAAATAAAAAACGTACAAAATATAAAACTCTTGTTCATGTACCAAACAGTAAGAGTGTGAGACTGAGCAGAGAAGAACAAGCAAATGACAGCCTTGAGTGACAGAAAGAGAAAGATGGAGAGGATGTGCGCCCTTTTGCCTGTCAGTCAAGACATTAAGAAGCGTGCTACATGCAGCATGTTATCACTGCTAATTTTCCTGAATTAACAGCATCAATTAAGCTCTATGCAATTAGCTTTATAAAAACACTAAACACCGGCACTGTGTCACTAATGTTGCTGAACTGACAGAGAGAGGGGTCTAATTGAGCCTCCTCAAATTGCTCCTGGTAGGGAAAGTATGAGTGTATGCATGCACTGATGGATAAACCTCAAAATTTCTATTCTGAGAATAACGCGATCACATAATCACTCGCAGCTTTGTGGCTTCTGCTTTATAATAAATTGCTGATGTGTTGTGAATAGTTTGGTCTAGTAGAGACAGAGGTTTACAACTTCATGTCACCCGTAACGAGTCGGTTCCACACAGCTGCCTGTGATAAGTTTATCTTCATGAGATATTGATTTACAGAAGGTGCTGCACCTTTCGATTTCTCCATTAGGAGAAAATGGCCTGGCCACACCTTCCTGTTTACAGCACAAGAGGGGTCCAGACAGACAGCACCGCTGTGATGTTTGCTACTAGCTCGCCGAGTACACGGAGCACAACAAAGGGAAAAGCGGCAGTGTGAGACCTACATCTTCACAACACATGAAAAGCTCTACAAGCATCAAAATAATCCCTCCGACCCCCACAGGAAAATAATATTTTAGATTTTTATATGAAACAATAGTTGACATGATATATCAGCTGATATATCAAAAAGAGGGGGTCAAGTCGAGGGACATTCCCAACAGTTGCAGACAATACGAGCGTAGTTTATGGACTGACCTGGAAAAAGGCAGGTGGCATTGGGCCCCCTGGCATGCCATCACCAGGGGGCATCCCTCCCATCACGGGGCTGGGAGCTGCTGCTGCACTCTGACAAAGAAGAAAACAGGAGAACGAGTCAAGCCGCTGGGTTATGCTTTCAGTCTTTTTTTCTAACAACAACGCCCCACAACAAATCCAAGGAGCAGGAGGAAACTCTCGGCAGACGTCACTTTTTAACAAGGAAAGCTCATGTGAGAAATTGGACAGTGGCTGAATCTGAGCTGATCTCAGCTGTAACGGGTTAATGGCCAAAAATCTTATCCAACTCTGTGAATAAAGTTTCATGCATTTCCTCTTTAAACCTAATTCAACCAACTGTCACCCACCCCCACACCCCTGCCCTCAATAATATATTAATGGGGTCCTTATTGAGGTCTGATCCGTGCTGATTCAGAATCCAGTGGATCAGATAAGCATCAGTGGGATGCAGTGAGTCAGTGGCTCCAAAGTGCTGCTGCACAGCAGGGGCGAGCTGGGCCGATTTCCTGCTCAAACCGCAGCCCTAATTCACTAATGTGCCATTTGCTTCGGTCACACGCTCCTAATTGACTGAGTTTTTCTTCCCTGTAGCTGAAGCAATCTGAGATGGGCTAATGTCTTCAGAGCTGTGGGCTTTAGCTTCCGAAGAACAGACACCAAGTGAGAGAAGAACATTCAGTCATATTTTTTAATGCGTAGCTCATTCAGTGAAGTGTAGGCAACTAGGCACTGACACTACAAGAACGGATGCATCAGCATCCACACTCACATATAGCTCTCAATGCCCAGAGCCTTACAGACATCGCTGGTCAATATCCAACACGCTCCCTTTTATCGACTGCACCTTCCCTAATTATATCTGCTCAGGCTGCCACTGCAGGGCCACTGTGAAATACCTCAGCAGGGAGAGAAGTGAGGCCACAGTGAAAAGTCACATCTCATCAGGCTCCTTCACCGCCAGGACGCAGGCAGCATAAATTCCACTTCTCTACTGAGCGGCGTGGAAAACTCAGCACGGTGCGAGACTGAGAAATCGTCAAGCGTTCATAGAATCTGGGGTTCCCTTAGATGGTCTACTGCTGCATCATAAAGGCAAGCACAAATTAGTGAAGATATCCGTTGCTCTTCAGTTTACCGATATGCTTCCTCCCCCGTCTTGAGCAGTAACTCACTACTCGGCCCACTCAATTAGACAGGTTTCCTGTCAGAGTTTGAATAGAAAACCGAAGGCCAGTATTAAAAATAATACTGTGAGAAATCACTGAATAATATAAATTTACAAATGTACAAATAACTTCTAAGAATTAGAGCTAACCTAACTGCTAAAGCCTTTCATGGGTAACAATTATTAAAAATATCCGAACATTAAATATACACAAGTACCATATTA